GCAAAATATGTTTCATAGAACTTTAAGAAAAATATATAACATAGTACATGATGAAGAAATTAGTATTAAAGATAATAAAGAAACTAAAAATAGTGATTCTACGGAAGGTCGAAAGACTGCGTCACAAATATCTGTGTCCAAGCAGCTTTCGCAAGGAGGATCAAGGGCATCTCGTGCTACCCGTTCTGATAGGGAGCAGGATCGCGACAGGACCCCGACTCCCACTCGACCCCATTCCCCGGACGGTCTGGATGCTGAAGAGGCGCGTATCGTCAATGAAGCGTTGGCTGCCAGGACGCCACGCACGTCGTTCTATGCGGCCTCATTGGAGCCTGAGGCCACCAGTCATTTTCATGACATGGAGCTATGCGTTCTCCTTCAGCAAGAAAATGACCCAGCACAACACGACATCGTCAAGAAGGCATTGAGGAAAGCCGTCCGACAAAGAATCAAAAAATTGGGGATGAAGTACGATCATGAGGCGAGCCTGCTCTTTTTTATGGCAGGGCATTGTCGTTAATCTGTGTCCCTGCAGTCAATCAAACAATACAGAAAGTCGTATCATGATCACGATCCTAGCGTTCACCTTCGTCATGATTACGTACCAGAAGAACCTCCCAGGTGGGCCGCAGACCTCAAGCGCTAGCTTGTCCTTATGCAGCAGCGGATTGAGAGCTTGGGTCCCAAGATCGAAGGCTTGAAGCAAGATAGATCGTTCAACATGGAAGGGTCGCGCTTCGCCTACGAGCCTGATGAAAGCACCCGCACACCAATGACGCAAACTGTCAACATCCAAACCCAACCGACCGGAACCCTGGCGGATTCGATGTACCAACAACCCGAATCAGAGCATTTGGTCGATGAGGATCACCAAGAGTACGATGACAGAACTGAGACGCAGACGCAGCAGCATCCATACACGGATGGCGAGACTCGCTCTGTCGTGCGAAGCGCGTACGACACGTCCGATAATGGACGCGACCATTCCGGAGGCGAGCAAGTGCTGGAAGAGGAGCTATACAGATTGAGGCAGCGGCCCGCTGCCGGGAGCCAGTTGGGCTCGCACAAGTCATGGGAAGTTGCCCAGGAAGATCACGATTTTGAAGACAACGGGCACGTCGCACCCTCTGGGCTGCCTACGATCCCCGACACCAATGGCGAGGATATGTATGAGCATGAACGTGACCTACCCGAGCTACCGGAAGAGGCGGATCGAGAGATGGCAGTACACCCACAGGGCCCGTGGGCCGTCGAGTACAACACGAGCAAGGACCCATCGCAGCAGCCCCTCCCGCCCTGGCAGCGCATTCATGCGCGTCTGCTCGGATGGGCGATCATCTGGCCGTTAAGCGAACTGGAAAACGCACTGAATAGCACGACCCGTGGACAGCAGGTCGACGAAGTCGCGCTCAGCATCTGGTCGACACAGACGTACAAGCGATACGTCAGGGCACGGTTGACGGACACGCCGCAGGGTGTAGTGGACAGGTTATTCGTGCCCCCGAACATTGCGGATGCGATTAGCAATGCCGTGT